GGGCCTGTAACTCAGGGGTAGAGTGTTCGCTTTGCATGCGAAAAGTCTTGGGTTCAAATCCCAACTGGTCCAAACTTTTTTTTTAATGTTTAAAAAAAAATAAATACATACTTTGTAGAATAGCTTTTGCTTGTTCATTATCCGAACATTTATCCAATAACCATGTTGCTACTTGTTTATTTTGTTGTTGATAAAAACGAAGAAATGAACATATACCTAATACTGGACTTTCATCGTCATCATCATCATCTGCTTCATCTACTGGTTGATAGAAAACACTACCAATAGATTGTTGATTTATAAGTTGAGTTGCTAATAGATTTAAATCAAGGATAGATTTTTTTAATGTACTACCAAATGATTGTTCAAGAAAATAAAGAATTGCTGAATGATCAGTATCAATAGGTGTACGAGCTTCTAAATCTATTTGAATATTTTCATGTTGATCTAGTTCTTCTTCTTCTTCTTCAGAATTATTACTATCATCTGATGAACTAGATGGTTCAGGTTCTTTATTAGGTTTTCGTTTTTTAGATGAACGTGGCATTAGAATTAAAATGAATCAAACTATCCGATAAAAGATGAGTGCAGAATTTCAAAATTTTTTTTTTCCGTCATGAATCATTTCTATTTTGTCATAGGATAAAAGAAACTGACCAGTAAGAAAATCGTGTCAAGGCAACATATTTTCCTTTATATTGGTATTAAAAATTCAAATAGTTTTTTTATTATGTATTATTGATTTATGTTTGTAGAAACTTCAGCCAATAGATGTCACTAGTTATCTACGATGGTATATTTTTATTTCACATCTATATTCATTCACTTGACAAAATAACTTGAATAAATACACAAGGACGTAGGTAGTAGAATCGATCATGAATATTCATAGTCAGAATTAATTAGACATCGTGATTCAGTCATGTGTGATGATGAAGGTGTAGTTTGATGATCGGTGTGTAATGAAAAAGCCGAAAGAAAAAACGTGGACAAAAAAAAGGTTAGAAATACGTGGATGTCTATTCACCTCTTCGGTCCCCACACCTACTTACTTGCATATGTCAAAAGTATCGACATAGGATATAATTGATGTTTTCATAATGAATCGTTTAATCAAGTCAGTTAGTTTTAACAAAGTATATAAAAGAATTAAATTATAACCTAAAAAACTCTGTCTATATTTCTCATGAGAGTTCTATCGTTTCATTCTCAACAGACACAGCGATATCTTTAATTCTAATTCATAATATTATATCACTTTTAATCAAATTAATAAACTTCGCGTTATAGAAAATATAACTAAATTATTAAAAAATAGATTTATTTCAATAAAAGATTTAAATTTTCTATATATTAACATTGGAAACAGAATTTGAATTACACTCGATAATCACAAGAGATGCACGTCTATTCGAAAAATCCTTTCGTGGTTGTTGTGATTGTTCATTCCATCGTTCAATAGATAATAATGTATATTTTCGTTCAATAATTATACAAATAATTGATGATATAATACATAGAATTGTTATTGAACTAAGTATAACATGTGCATAAATAACTATTTTATTAATTGGTAAATGCATAAGAATAAGAGTTAATCGTGCAATAAATTCTAATAGCAATCCTATTGACCAAATACTTGTTATTGTGTAACATGCAAAACGAAATGATGGACAATGTTTATATATCCATTCATATACTTTTGCAACTTCTTCTTTATCTGATAATTTCGGTACAGTAATTTCTTCTTTAAGTTGTGCATATTGATCATTAGCTTGATCATATTCTTCATTAAATGCACTTTCTAATAATCCAACTTGTGCACGATTAGTTGGAACTAAATCTTGATAGAAATAATAAGCAAGTGGTCGTAATTTACATCGACATGAACAACATTGAAATGGAATTAATGTTATACCAAAAATTAATGAAAGAATACCAGTAACAAGAGATTTTTCTAGTAAGAGTATAATAGAATTTCGTGTAACAATGGCTACAACACCTGATATAACGAAACCAAAGAAAATAAGAAAACCAAGTGCATCAAATGTTCGAGATATAAGTGCTTTACAAATGACCATAAGAAGTGGTGGTGTCCCAGCAAGTAAAAGTGCATAAACTGGTTTGGTAAGTTTTTGTAAACCAAAATAAATTACAAGTGGAAATACAATATCAATAAGAATGGTTAGAATAAAACGTGGAATATGATGTTTAAATGTATGCCAAGCAGAGAATTTAATTTTTGGTGATATTCTTATTTGTTGTTCACGTGAAGTTGGTAATTCATTTGTTGAAAGTATCGTAGGTTTCATTTTGTTTTCTTCTTAATTAGAATCTATAGAGACTGACAGGTGTAGTTATGATTTTATTCAATATAGGTTATATTTTGTTTTCATTATGATTACCTGCAAAATAACAAAAAAAAAGAAAGAAATTATTTTATAAGCCGGTCATGAAGGTTATATAAGTAAAGGAAGAGAAAATATTATTTAGTGACTAACAACCGTATCGACAAAATAATGAATATATACCAAATAATAAAATCGCCTGACATCTGTAATTTTAACGAATTTATTTTGATTAGTTCGGACGATCGATAGATGTTTTTAACAACTAAGATTCATTATTTGATATAGATTTTTTCATAATATTGACTCATTATTTTTATGATATCGTTTCAATAAAAAATAAATGATATAATTAAGACACATTACTTTTTTTTACGAGTTTGAAATCATTCATAACGAACATCTTAGTAGAAAAAGTAAAAGAATGTTATAAAAAAATTCTCTCGCGGGAAAAAATAATTATCTACCTGACATATTTCGATAATCTTACTTAGATGTTTGCAAATATTATTAAGATAACCATCTCGCCTTTTTTTCTAGGAATTAAATTTATTCGAACTGATCTCATTCTATTGACACTAAACAATATCATGATAACATTTTCTCTGAGATTACAATGCACTGAAATAGTTAGTTCTACTTATCACATTTTCTTACAAATTAAAAAAATGTATCGTTTATCAAGAGAAATATAGTTTACATTACTTACATGAAAATTCAATGTACTGATCTTGCATTTACATTTAAAAAAAAATGCGACGTTTATGCGTAGAACATATACATCGTGATTTTTGCATTTCTATTGCTCGCTCGATTTTTTTTTCATTAATAGAAATAATAATATATATGTGTATATGTATTATGCAAGCTGTGCGCATAAGGTTGCTGGCATAGAACAGTAATGTTGACGGCAGTAACGATATGTTCTGTTACATTTTGCAATAAAGAATGGGCGATTAACTTTATACTTTTCTTTTTTTTTCTTCTTATGCACATTACTTTTCTTTCGTATAGAATAGTTTGAATTCTTCCTATTAAGTATTTTTCGTTCGCTTGTAGACGAAGAAAAAAAAACTCAATCAACGGACTCTTTACACATTTCAAAAATAATATGTCAATGTGACCAATGTCTACCGGACAATAATATGAATTTTAATCATCATGAGTGTGCATATTTACTTTTAGTATACAATAAAGCAGCTTCTGTCTGATTTATTTGAAGAATGAACATTATTCTATTTCTAGGGTTTAACGACGAATATTACAAAGTAGAACAATTGAAAAAGAGGTCATAGAAATATTCTATTAGAAAAGAAAAAACGATTGAAACTGCAAATATACCTCGATATAATGAAAAGAAATTCTCTAACCTTGACTGAATTCATCATATACAATTATTTGACATTTAAAAAAAAGAAGGTATACTATTAAATAGTATAAGAACGATCTTTTAGCTTGAATGTTGTGGGAGTGAAATTAATTATTTATGATAATGAACTACATCCTCGTTACAAAGGACAATTTTTTCTAATAACAATATATATATTGTCTTTTTTTCCCTCAATAGATCTCCTTCGATAAAAAAAGAAAGAAATGTATGAAATATTAGATCTGAATCTCAAGGTTCATAAGAAACAAATTTTCAAAAAAAAAAAGAATGCATCTAATAACAACAGTTTATTAATCAGCAACGTATCTGCTTACAATTGTAAATTGTTATTAGGAACATTTGTTCTATCGATAGTCATTATTTTTTTTGTTTTAATTATATGTCTCGTTTTATCGAATCTATGGTTTAACATATCCTTTCTTTTTAAATTCAATTAGTATATAGAGTTAAATTGAATAAAACAAATACTCCTACGATTACAATAATAAAATTTCCTATTGAAATAATAAGAGTGGCGGAAACAACAAAAATTTAATGGATCAGATACTTGAGATAAAATGGCACAGAAGTTAATCATAACAAAAAAGGTGTACTTCTAACAGGTGGAAATGTGTATTCTTTGAATACTAAAGAATGTAGACAAGTGAAAGAATAATATCTAGAAGAAAACATGGAATTTCGAATTTTTGTCTCGAGGTCAAATAGAGAATTGAATATTGAAAGATAGTTTGTTTTTGTTCATGAGACCAAGATAAACAACAACTAAAAACTATTTGATAAATAATTATACAGTATCTTTCTTCTCTAAGTGAATAAGTAAAATACAATCCATAATATCTCTAAAAGTCAGTTTATGTAAAAGGATTGATTTGATTGTGTTGAATTTTAGTCATATCAAATAGAGTTTATTATAAGTCATATCATTTAATAATTACAGTAAATGCTCTATATGAGAAAATTCCTCTACATATTTCTACTTTAATTCTATATACAACAAAACAATTATGTTTAATGTATATTTAATTGTTCTCGTTTCCATTGTTCAATTATTATCATTGTTTGTTTTCTTTCTCTTGTTACACACATAATTGTTAACAATGTACATATTATTGTTATTCCACTAAGTATAATGTTTCCATAAATAACTATTTTATTAACCGATAAATGAACTAGAATGAGAATTAAACGAGCAAGAAATTCGAAAAGAAATCCTATTGACCAAATGCCTGTTAATGTATAACATGAAAATCGAAATGATGAACAATGTTTATATATCCATTCATATACTTTTGCAACTTCTTCTTTATCGGATAATTTCGGTATAAGAACTTCATGTTCATCAATTGATTGTTGTTCATTAGTTGATAAATTTTCAGGTAATCCAATTTGCTCTCGATTAGTTGGAACTAAATCTTGATAGAAATAATAAGCAAGTGGTCGTAGTTTACATCGACATGAACAACATTGAAATGGAATTAATGTTATACCAAATATTAATGAAAGAATACCAGTAACAAGAGATTTTTCTAGTAGAAGTATAATAGAATTTCGTGTAACAATGGCTACAACACCTGATATAACAAAACCAAAAAAAATAAGAAAACCGAGTGCATCGAATGTTCGAGATATAAGTGCTTTACAAATAACCATAAGAAGCGGCGGAGTACCAGCAAATAAAAGTGCATAAACTGGTTTAATAAATTTTTGAAGACTAAAATAGACTAGAAGTGGAAATACAATATCAACAAGTATCGTCAGAATAAAACGTGGAATATGATGTTTGAACGTATGCCAGAACGAGAATTCCGTAGTTATAATTATTTCCGATTGTTCATAAGAAGGAGATGGTGAACGATGAGCGGCCATTCAATCGTATTTTTTATACATCTAAAGCAACTATTCAGATATTTATTGTGTAAAAATTTATTTTATTTTATGGAAAATATTTAATTGCAATAAATAAGTAGTCGATTAATTTTACATCGATTGTTGTTGTTCGTATGACCTTCTTATTATCACGTGTCTTTTCTATGTAGAAAACAAATCGTCGATCGTATATGATTATATACATCCATCTATATTACATTTTTTTTTGTATTTCTGTTCTTCATCTGACATCACATACTATGAGTCATATATGAGCTGATACACTAGATATAGGCGTTTTTTTTTACCGTAGAAACTGTAGTCTATGGCGTGATGTTATATCATGATGAAATAAGATTGGTTTTTGTTTGTCTATCGATTATTTTATGTGTATTTTTTTTTTATCTTACATTGTTCTGTTTCGTTTTGTTCGTTATGATGATTTAATGAATTTCAATTAGATAGAGTTCTTGTGTAATGATGACAAAGCTATATCACTTTTATTGTGTAATACAATAGAATATGATTACATAGATGCTTGTCATATCTTCAATCTTAGAATGAAACAAAAAGATAGAGTAGTATCAAACAATTGTAAATACATTCATTTACGACACGATTTTCTTGAAACTTCATATAGCAAAGATTTGTAGATTTAATATTTGTGAAAATTCTTATATATTATTTTCATCATTTAGCTCTTATATTATAATATTTCAGCGAGATATAGACTAAACACAATTGATTTAGTGACCTAAATTTCTCAGTTCAGACTCATTTCATAGATTCGATTGTTTTGTTAGAAAGAGTATCTTCACTTGTAAATAGATGAAATTTATTTTACACTGATTGCGAGACATTCTCGATTATTTATTGTTCTCTTATAACGCAAACGAAGATAGCAAATGACCTTGTCATGGGTCTATATTTGTACATGAAACAAAAAAAGAGTAAGATACCATCAGATGTAGGTTTGTCTTTTTTATCGAACAGAAGGATACAAGGTATCACTATCTTTTTTTTTCTTTACCATAATTATCTAATAACTCAAATTCTTGTCATCAAATAATATTATAGTATAATTGATTTTTAAAAATCAAAACACTTCAATATGATAACCAGTACATTCGACATTGTTTTTAGTATGTAAAATAATTAAGATAACATATATTATTTTGATATATTCTCTAGTCTTTTCTTGTCTATTCATACTTTGTCAATGTCAGACAATAGTTTTCTACTGCAATTTCGATACGGATTTAATAGATAATTGTAATTTTACGAGAATATCCGACGCTTCTGCTTTATTTATAACGACTGGAGTCAATCCTGATGTTTATCAACCCATTCAACCTTTATCTGACACCACTTCTATTCGTAAGGTTTCATAAATAAAAAATTCATGTAATCAACACATATCAATTACATAGATTCTTTAACTTTTCCTGAAAATAAATCATGTCGATTGCCATATAACTATTCTATAGACCAGTGGCCTATGTATTTTTGTCATCGTTATTCGGATAGTAGTTATACATGTCCAATAGAGTCTGATAGTGGACATTGTATTGTTGGTCAGTTTTGACAAGCATTTCATATAGTTTAAATTAAATAGATTATGTTAGGAAAGTATATATATCTCAGAAATACTGGTATATTTGATCATACTCATATGATTGATATTCGGACAAAATTAGCAACGTTGTATTGTCTTGATTTTTATTTTTATCTTAAAAATACAGTCAATGATACTTCGATAAGTTTTGGATGGAATACAAAGACAACAAAGCAAATGATTATTGAAGTAATATCACATATAGATAATAGATGGCAACGTGGTAGAAGTACATACAAAAGTCCATCATCTGAATTATATCTAGTACGCATGTTTATTTCTTCAATTTATTCATGAGATTATTAAATTTTAGATTTGGTTTAAACTGAAACGGACGAAAGGAAGTATAGCTTTATTTCATGCTCTTGATGAAATTAAGATATTTGAAGGATCTTGTGGTATTCTATTTCTTCTTAACATTCTATCAATGATTTATTTCGAGATTTTCAATAAACTTGACTTCGGTAACAAGTGTTTTGGAAGTTGTATACTATTATCATTGTATACAATAGACTTATTTTATGAATATATTTGTATATAGACATCTACCACAATAGATTCTATTCGGATCTATTCCACATCATATGATTCAGCAACTGCTCAGTACGAAAAATTAGTTTTTAAAACCTAATAAATATTTTTCTAATTATAGATCATTGGAAACAAACGAAGATTTAAGTATGTCGACAAAAACTTTAGCATCGTATGTAATTAATATAGTTACTGATCTTCCACGTATTCATGCACACGTTTTTTATGGAAAGAACGACTGATAATGAAAATAGTATTTCAACAAGTGATACGACATTAATTATGACAACCACATCGTAAGTTTTATTTCTTTAGTTTTATAACACAGTATTAACAACTTCATTTGCAATACTGATATATTTTCAGAGCAATAACATCTGCAGTTAAAAATTATCAATCAACGGTAATTACACAACCTAACAAACAGACAACAGTTTTAAATACTTTAACAGATATCACGGTACATTCATATACATTTATCGCTCTTCTTAAGAAAAGTTAATTAATTCTAGTAACTACTTAAGATATTCACAACTGAGAAAGCAATATCAGATATAACTGATGCTTCAGATACTCTCATTCCAATATTTTCTTGTGATTTTTTCGATAATTCATGTTTTCAAGATACTCAACTAATTATTACAAATGGAACTTAATTCTCTTCTTCCAATCTTTCTCAACCACCTCGAGCTCCTCTTTCAGATGTTACTTCAATTAGTAAGTATTCATTTCTTTTCCATTCACAACATATTCATATACACAAATCATTATTAAAGATGAACCAACAGGCAATAATCAGAAATGTAAATTACCCTACCAATTATCTATTGATAATAGTACAAATACATCAAGTTGGGATATGTGGTTTTGTTATAACAATCAATATCCAACAAATAATGAAGACTTCTTCACTTGTACTTTAGGTAATTATGGTTTGATTTCTCTTGAACCTTGGGAAACAAATAAAACAATCAGTAGTGTAATTAATGAAAATGTGATAATACGTGATTTTGTTGAAGGAGAACAATGTCTTTCTTATTATTATTATATTACTCTTGATGATGGTATTGATTATGGTCAACAACTATCAGTATCAATCAGATCTGATAATACAAGTGATAGTGAAATCGAAGTTGATCGATTATCAATTGTTGATATGACAGAGAATCGATGGAATCAACGAAATGTAACATTTAATTCAACATCTACGAGTTATACAGTAAGATATATCTAATATGAATTATAAAATATATATAGTTTGTATATTATTTTAGTTGATATTTTCGTTCGAAGTTCGAAGGAAAGGCGTAGCACATAATAGAGCAATCTACTTTGCAGTAGACAATATTTACGTGTATGGTAACAATGTTTTATGTAAGTTGTAGAAAATTTAGATTAAAGTTCATTTAATATTAAAAATATCGATATGAATAAAAAACGAAGATTGTTTATGATTTTTTTAGGTATTACCGATGCATCATCGAGCTCAACAATGACAAAATTATCATTCGTTGAAGAAGTTACTGTTGGTTTTTTACGTGAGAAATGAATAATTACTTAGTTTGTTCTTAATATGTTTCTTTTTTAATATAGCAAAGATTAATGATTCGGGTGTAATTTTTGGTCTTTCAGTTAGTTGTGGTATTGGAATTTTACTGTTGATAATCGATGGATTTTTGTTTTATTGGAAAAAAGTCAGACGTAGTTATTTTCATAGGGAAAATGACATTAGTCTAAATATTCCAATGAAATTAGTAAATGTAAAATCAAATGTTGATATTTCTGAGAACAGAAATATATTCTAAATTACTTAATTTTTTTTCTCATTATTATCGAAGGATTTATTTAGTTGATTATCAAAATCAAGAAAAAAGTTCTATTTATTATTAAGATATAGTTCAAATTTGTATGTAAAGTATGAATTATACGTAAATAAAAATAATATTTCATGTGACCTATATGAGATATAGCAGTATCTTATCATGTATGTTATTGTCAGATGACATTACAAAAGGAGTACTTAAAATATACATGTTGCGTAGTTTATTTTTCAAAAGAAACATAAAATTCAAAATATACAAACAGTATATTACAATAACAGTCGTAAGGAGATGACATAAAATTTTGAGTAAAACTAAGTATACATTTGATTAATTTTTATTGTTATTATTGTTTGAAGCGAATTCAATGATTAATAAAATTCCTGATGCATTTCGTAATTATATTATTTACTCACAAATAACAAGGTAGATAATAAAACGAACAGATTATTCATCTTGATATTTACTAACAATATTATTTGTTGCTTTCAAAAACATACTATTATCTAGTGCATCATCGTTTGACGTCATATAACTGATAGTTGTTTTATCAAAAAAAATGTGAAAATTCTCTCTATGAATACATTAATAAAAGAAGATGATGCAATTTTATGTAAATAAATTCGATCATGACATAGTCAACTTACTAACAGAATGTTATTTCTATATTATAATTCGTTCGAAATACTTATTCAATTCATTTTAATACACTGTTTGAGTAAATTATCAATAAATTGAATGATAATCGTATTAAAAGCTCAACTACAAATATAATATAATTACCTAACGACTAAGCATCGGACTTTTCTTTCTTGAGAAATCTGTGAGTTAACTATGTGAATGATGTTATCTTTGTATATTCTTTGTTTTCTCTTATTGCTATATGATGCACAACTGATAAGAAACGACCTTGTATGGTCTTGTTTATTCGTAAAAGAGTTTTGAGAAAAGTGGTGCAATACTATTGTTTATCAAATCAAGTAGATACCAGTTATCATATCTTTTTTCTTTCTCTTTAAAGTATTATACCCATAATGTTTTTGCTGTTTAGTATCTTTACATATTTATTTATGAATAACTTCACTTCTAGCATATTTTTATTAATCATTCGTTTCATTCTAGAGGAACATATATTTCATCATGAGAAATCAAATGTCATCTATTCTTATCGGTATGTTTTGCTAACCAAAACAAAAAACTATAACTTTGATTATTGATTTTCTTTGATAGTTCTTCTCCATACATTCGTCTTATGTCGATCTCAGGTCATAAATTTTCAGTGTAACTTTGACAGTGGTCTATCAGATGATTGTCAATTCACATCAACAACAGGTGGTCCTGCTATGACTGCAGATCCTGGTCCTAATTCCGTTGCTACAGCTCCCAGGCAACCTTTGTCTGATATTAAGGCTATTTGTAAGTATATTTAGAATGAAAAATAAAGAACAAGATTATTTTTGAATGTTGTTTGTTGTATAGCATCGCCAACCATGCCTAACAATGAGCATTGTATGTTACCATATCCATATCCAGGATTCGGAGGAGGTTGGGAGATGCATTTTTGTCGTCGTTTCAGCAACAGTACTTTCACGTGTCCTACACAATCTGGCGCAGGTCGATGTGATACAGGTTAATTGTCTTTTTATTCTTCATTCTTGTTCTTATTGTCATTTCAATAAAATTTGTTCATTTTAGGAAACTATGGTTTAATAAAACTACCAAATGTTGGTGGCTCAACTGATCACACATATGTCGCCAATGTTGAAGGGAGTACAAACAGTGTACAATGTCTTGATTTCTATTATTATATAACTGACACAACAGAGAATGCTAGAATCGAGATTAGATGGGAAAACGATGAAGATACAGAACTTATAACTGAGGTAGCAGCAGTCGCATCAGAGAATAAATGGCAACGTAAGCAAGTTTCTTTTACGGGCCCACCACCACTATCTTCATATGAAGTAAGTAATTGTCATGAATTTTTAATTTCATGAACTGAACTTCGTATATGTATGTATAGAAGTATTTGATTTAATTATAGCTTATTTTTCAAGTGATGCGTGATAGACAAGTGGCAAACTTTTTTTTTGCATTTGATGAAATCTATATTTATGATCAGCCTTGTGGTAATGTGTTTGTTATTGATGATGAATAGTTTGATTTGATTTTGTTTATTTTGTCCAGCAGGTGCAACTACAACTATTCCTAGTGGGGTATGTGTTTGATGCATAATAAAGAGAGTTATTATTATTTATATTTCAATATTTTTATTTATTCCCAGTCAACTCCTGTCATCGAGCCGACTACCACTAAAGAGATAGAATCCGGTACCACAACTCCTGTGCCGACCACTACTGCCGCACCAGTCACCACCACTACTACGGTTGCACCGATCATCACCACTACTACTGCTGCACCGACCACTACTGCTGCACCGACCACTACTGC